CAAAAAATCGCCAGTGCTACATGTCCTCTTTCTACTTCTACAGTGGATGGGTGAGAGTGACAGGAAAGGGGGCAGAGGTCACAAAGTTTCTAGACTATCTTATAAATATCACCTTAACTAAAATAGTGTTAATTGTGAGTATCTGAAAAAGGACAACCATGAATATAATTTTAGTTCATATGGAAAGAAGTGTAACAGGATATAAAGATAAAAAATTCTAAAAAAAATCTTGGTTAACACTTTCAAAATTATATTTAAATATATGTAAGTATGCATACACATACACACCCACAAAATTACTAAATGACTCCTTTGCAAAGATAAACATAGGAAGATTGTGAAAATGTAGTTGGAATTCATGCCTGGATTAAGAAAGCAAAGAGGTCAAAGGATTGTATACTACATAGAAATCTCATACCTATAATATCATGAATCTTTTCTGAGTGAGGAGGCACTAGATATGAAAAATATAAAACATCACAGAGAAATATAAAATGGTTAAAAGAATAGAAACAGACATGAATTATCACCATTATTTACATTAGTTTAACTAATGTAAAGCATTCATTAAAATAAGAAGGCTAAAAATGCCTAAAAACAACTTCAACCAAGAAGCACTCATTATCTTGGTCAGGTTTGGGAATATAATCTCATTTGTAGTATTTTATGGAGAAGGATGTTGGAAGATTAGGAGCAGTACCACCTCATGAAACAGTAAGAATGGTTAAGTAAAAAATGAATTTTACCAAAAGAGCTTGTTGAAAGATCAGTGGATCCATATTATCCCAGAAACATTTGAGACTGAAAATTGGAAGGGGGAATGACAAATACACACACACACACAAAAAAAAGTTAAGAGCCATCAAAACTTCTCATTTATAACAACGGCACTATCACATCCATATTCTAATATTTTAATCTCTAATGTGTCGCATGAGAAAGTGAAAATGGTACTAAAGTAAACAAAGAAAAGTAGCTAGATAAGTTTAAGTATACCCAGTGAAAACCCATGATAAAGGCAACAGAGTTTTTAGGGTATGGAGGGATTTAGATTCTTAAGCTATCTGAAAGAGATAGTAAAAACACTAAATCATTAGGGAAAAAAAAAAATCAAAGATGCTAATAGAGATCCATACATCTACTACCAGCATTTCATATTGTAGTTGTAGAGCTGGAAAGGGTATCAGATGCGAACTAGTTTAATCATCTTCTCTTACAGATGAGGAAACTGATGTCCAGAGATGTTAAATGACTGGCCCAAGGTCCCAAAGGTAGTAAATGTCAGAGGTAAGTTAGAACTGGTTGTTCCCTTACATTATTAGGTGAAGAATACGTCAAGAGCATCACTGATGAAAATGTGGGAAAGAACAGTCAGGCTTCTACAAATTATATTTTCAAATCTTCCATCACAAAATTGACTGAAAGCTGCAGAGAGAAAAAATCTTCTTGTGTTTATTGTTTGTTGACTATTAAAAAAAAAAATCAGATCCAATAGAGCAAAATGTTGCTTTAATATCTCTCCCTACAGTGTCTTCTATGCATATGGTGTTTATACAAGATTACTTGGTAAGTAATCTGATCAACAAAAGAGATAGCTTTGTTTGATGAGGCTTAGGCTATTAATATCAAGCAAGGCATAAAACAGATAAATGTATACAAGTCACTTGTGTTTGCCACTATGATTAAGAACTAGCTAGCAGAGAGTCCAAATGGAACAGCAGTGCCTTATTGATGGCAATAAGGTTCTGAAAAAGTTCCCCTTAAGTGGATTGCATTGTGCTGCCTTTATTAAGCCATGAATCACTGCAGGGCCTACTAAATGAGATCCAAAATCTCTCAAAAGAGTTTTGTCTAACAATCTACATCAGAAAAAACAAGAGGAAAAAGACTGCACACTGTCCGTACCATGATATGTTAAGGTACAGAAAGCCCATTAAGCTGATCCATCAGTACATATATCTTGGACGGATGAGGAAAACAGGCAACGAACTGGGCTCTCAACTGAGCAGGAGAAAAAAATGGGGTAGATTATGTTTAGGAAAAATAGTGCAGGACTTAAAATGACCTCAAGCTTCTCCTGAAAAGGAAATCCCATATTCTTCTAGTAATGACATTTGGGTGGTGAACAGTCACTAAGAAATCAAAATTATAGGTCAACCAAAGCATAGCCTGCAACATAGTAGGAATGATGAATCACATGCACAAAGTAGTATAAAATACAATAGCCAGAAGATGTAGCAGCAGAAAGGGAGATGGCTAATCGTGTATTAAAAGCAAGAGATAATAAACAGAGGACATGTGTGCTGTCCTGGGAACAACATAAGAGCAAGAGATCAAGAGGAAGTTCCCAAGCAAGCTTCGTGGGCCTGATTTAAAGGATGACATGAGAATGTATGGATGGGTTGCACTGACCACCTTGGGAGGAAGTACCCACATTTGATATGATTAGAGATCAATGAAATAATGAATTATCATTTATCCACATTATCTCTGATTGCCATCACCCATAACAAACTGGCTGACTTTATCCTGGGCTATCAACAAGGTTCTCCAAAGCTGAAGAAATTACATCAATTTTGTGGCATAGAGGAGTTCATATTCTTGTTAGGAATGCCCACAGAGTAAAAGGGAAAGAAATAAACAATTGTGCATCTATGATTCAATCAATCAATCAATCAACAAGCATTTATTAAGCACCTACTAGCCTAAGAGAATATTGTTCAAAGTAACTTTCAATGCTGTCTGCAACAGAATATTTTGGTTTGAAATAATTCTCTAAGTTTTACTAGGCATCAGATTGCCTTAGAGCAGCAAGGATTCTCATAAAATACATATCCCTAGCAGAAGGATGATGGCATTCACAGCCAAATCCCATATCACACTACGTGACGTTTTCCTCACTCTCTAACAGGTCTGAGCCACAAGGTAAATCTGGAATGGAGGTAGGGCTTTTGTTTCTCTTTTGCTACCACTTGTCTTGTACCTCATGAGCCAGAAATTCAAAACCAAAGGATTCTAGGAGTCAAAATTGGAAGGGACCTCAGAGAGCACTCCCTCTCCCCACTTCACTTTACAGAAGACGATGAGGAAACAGCTGGAGAGAGGCTTACTTATTTTAAGGCCAAAGAAACATAGTAGAAAGTCAAGGAGAGGATTCTGGGAAGATGGTGGAGTGGGTCAGAAAATTCCAAGCTCTCCAGATTTTCCCCACAAATGAGATAAAACAGTGCCTCAGGGTGAACACAGAGCTGTTAAAAATAAACAAGAGTTGGGTCCTCCTGGGACAATTAGGAGAAAATCCAAAGAAAAATCCTAGGACAAGGTTTGATCCCAGTGAAGAGTTAAGTACCTCCAAGCTAGGACCGCTAAACAATAAGCCTTGGGTGAGCTCTGGGGTTAGCTGACTTGCCCGGCAGCCTCAGGCCCAGCCACAGGAAGTTCCGCTGCTGACAAGGAATGCCAGACCCGTGTGTGTGCGTGCATGTGTGTGTGTGTGTGTGTGTGTGCGTGTGTGCGCGCGCGCCTGCATTTATTGAACCTTGGGGGTGGGGAGGAAGGGTGAAAAAAGAACAAAGCAAAAAGGACACAGCAGAGAATAAAACAAAACTTACAAGGAAGCAAAGATGGACAGCTCTCAACACAATGCATAGTATTTATTATATAGGCTTTCTAAAAATGGAAATTTGTTGCTTTTTTATTTGGAATCCTCTCTCATGTTCTGCTGTGCCCTGGACAGTGTTTTTTTTTTCCGCTTCTTGTTGATTTACCTTGTGGCTCAGACCTGTTAGAGAGTGAGGAAAACGTCACGTAGTGTGATATGGGATTTGGCTGTGAATGCCATCATCCTTCTGCTAGGGATACGTATTTTATGAGAATCCTTGCTGCTCTAAGGCAATCTGATGCCTAGTAAAACTTAGAGAATTATTTCAAACCAAAATATTCTGTTGCAGACAGCATTGAAAGTTACTTTGAACAATATTCTCTTAGGCTAGTAGGTGCTTAATAAATGCTTGTTGATTGATTGATTGATTGAATCACAGATGCACAATTGTTTATTTCTTTCCCTTTTACTCTGTGGGCATTCCTAACAAGAATATGAACTCCTCTATGCCACAAAATTGATGTAATTTCTTCAGCTTTGGAGAACCTTGTTGATAGCCCAGGATAAAGTCAGCCAGTTTGTTATGGGTGATGGCAATCAGAGATAATGTGGATAAATGATAATTCATTATTTCATTGATCTCTAATCATATCAAATGTGGGTACTTCCTCCCAAGGTGGTCAGTGCAATAGTAAGTTATACTATTTAAGTTTAAAATAAAAAAAGAAAGTTAAACTGAGGCCCTTTTGACTTCTGATCTAGCATTATTCCCACCAGTACTACTTCCCTTTGGTTTACCTAAGGAGAAACAAAAACAAAAGCAAGCCAACTTGTTTATAACAGTAATCTAGTATCTAGGAGTAAAAAAAAAAGAAAATAACAAAAAGGTAGAACTGACAATACAGGAATCTGGATGACCTCTAATTCCAGTCGTGATGATTCTCACCAGCCCAGGGTTCAGACTGGGACTAACTCAACAGTCTTCTGTCTTTACTTCAAGTTCCAATAAGCTCCCAGGCCAGCCTTGATATGTGGACAGTTGATAAAATTCCTAGCAACTGGCCTAGTAGCACCCAAACCCAATTGTTTCTTTTCTGGCTTCATGCATTACATATACATATCTATATCTATATCTGCCTATATAGATATAGATATAGATATTACAGTTTCCATTGAATTCAAGCTTTCAGCTGACCTAGGTTCCATCTTCACTGGATGTCCCTAGGGTCCTTTATGTTTACCATGCTCTGGGGCGCAGGATAACAACTCTGTTCACTCTGTTACATTTACCAGTCCCTTCCCTCCTTCCTAGAAGGAATGAGATACCTTAAATATATTAATAACAACAAATTATTTCTACTAATGTTAAAGGAACATCATCTTCCAGAACTTCGCTTACCCCTTGCTCATCTAGTTTCATGAGCTGTTCCGTGACCTTGGGGGTGTTAAAGGCCAACCTGAGACACTGAACGTTGAGCTCAGGAATCACATGCTCCAATACTTCCTTCAAGGGCAGTCCTCGAGCCGTACAATGCTTTGCAGTTGAAGGGATGGCGTCTTCTAGAACAGCACCTCTTAATGTCAGGAGCTGGAAGAAAGAAATACATTCTGGTAATCCCTTTCCAATATACCGGCATACCTCAAAGATCTTTATTACATAATTTGGCAATCTTAACCAAGCCATACAATTGCATGGATGGGATGGATTATTTTTGACAGATTAAACAGAGAAGGGAAGAAGGATTAAAGAGACAGCATGAGAAATATATGTTAATATTTATGAACGAGAAGATGGGGAAAATATTTTAAGAGTGACTTAGTTAAAACAATGCAAAATGGGGTATCTGGAAGGGTATGTGAGAATAAAATATAATTTAATAAGTTACTAAATTTAAAAAAAAAATTAAATGGCTTACTATTGCTTAGTGAGTTTCAAACCCCTGTGCAAACCCCTGTGGCATTTAAGGCACTCCACAATCGGGTGCCATCCTACATTTCCAAACTTACATTACCCCTTCCCCCAGAGCAAACATTGTACTATAGCCAAAGTAGACTACTTGCAGCAACCCAGAAGCACAATGCCTGAGCTTTTATGCCTCCTTTGCTAATCTTTGCTTACACAATTCACTATATCTGGAACACTCTACTTCACGGTCTTTGCTTGCTGAATAAAAATTATATTTAAAGTCACCTCAATGCATACACAAACCATATCTCACTTTCTTTATTAATCTCTGCTTGATCTTTCCCCTTTCTCCCTTTCTTCTAAGCTTCCATCCACTGATAACAACCTTACCTATCAAATTCATAAAGTATTTTCTTTTATAACTCAAATAAACTAATGATAAAATACCGTGTAATGCAATAATGTTTGCTTTTTCTCTGTAAACTATAACTTCCAAGAGGGCAAGAATTGTAGCTTAACTAAACTTTGCATTTCCCCCAAACCCTTGGTATGGTGTTTTGCACACAGTTGGCACTTAACAAGTTTTCACTGAATTGTGATCAACCAAAAAGTAAAACATAAAGCCATGTTAGCTTTATTTAAAGCTGGCTCACTAAGAGGATATTAATTTTAATCTAATTAGAACAAGTTAGTAGCACAACCCTCAAATATAAACCTCTTCTGTCCTTTCCCCTTTTCTTCAAAGGCCTTCTTTCTCTTCAGATGGAATGTGCATTTAAGTTAACAAAAGAGGCAAAGGGAAATTCCTATGTATTAACGACAAGCTCAAGAAGAGCTAATGCTCCTCAGGCATAAACCCTAATGGAGTCTTAATTCCCAGGAAATGCCACGTACCACTTGTTGTTAATCTAAGTTAAATATTGCCCATGGAGGGGAGAAAAAGATTTGGAAAAGATAAAATCAATATGCTGGCTTATACTAATCTTCATACGTGAGGAAGAGACTTGTGCTATTTGCAGTGAGCACATCTGATTAGCATATTTCCACTTTCATTTGCATATAATTTTTCACACAGTGCTGATGATGTGAAAAACTTTGTTCTTATAATTTAATATCTAATTCTGACAAAAATAGATCTTTTCTTTTTCACATAGGAATAGCAGAATAACCCAGTTATTATGGTCTTTCCTTTTACTCCATAATAGACCATGGGAACTGAGGCCACAAACATTCCCTATTTTACTATTCTAAAATACTATTCTAGTAGTTTATTAAATGTATCATAGGCAACAGGAAGACAAAGAGTTAATTTCACAAAAGATGAAGTCTATGGGGAAAGAAAAAGAAAAGAATGACCCTCCTTTTACATAATTACTTTTGCTCTTTGTAATTTCCAAGTCATTAGTGTTATTAATGACTAGGGCCATGTCTTTCAGAGAACAAAATCAGTCAAAAAAGTCTCTGTGCTACAATGTGAAAATGGCTTATATGAATTTGAAATCAGGTGACCTGAGTTCAAATCACGCCTCCGACATTCACCAACTGGTGACCTTGGGCATGTCACTTTACCACTGATTGCCTCAGATTCCTCATCTGTAAAAATCTGTTTCTAACGTGCCGTGACTCCCTGATAATATATAGGAGATGGCTTACTAGAAAGACCACTAGCCTAAGAGTAAGAAGCTCTGTCATTTACTCATGTTTTGACTAAGACTGGTAACATCTTTGATACTCTACTATAGACCCTCATCTGTAAAACTAGGAAAATAATCTCCCTACTGACTACCTCATAAAGTAAATAAGATTACATGTGGAGAAATAATTTGAAAATAAAGTGATATAACAAAAAGTAAGATGTATTGTTAATTGCCTCTGATAGTTTTATGTAGGCTCACCTTTCCTCTTCATTAAATGACCTACAAATATACAGTTATGGTAGTAATCCAACTACAATCTTACTAGTTTTTATTCTAAGAGAATTTCAAACAAATGAAAAGGCAGATTAAACAGTTATTAACTCTATGCAGATTATTTCCAAATCTATTTATCCAATCCTAGTATTTCTGTTGAACCCCAGTCCCTCAAACCAAATGCCTCAGGACATTACAAATGGGATGCCCTGTAAGCATCTCAACGTGTCCAAAAAAGCCCATCATCTTTCCCCCAAAACATTCCCCTCTTCTGAACATCCCCATTACTATCAAGGGGACCACCACCTTTCCAGTTCCTGAGGTTCACAACGTCATTCCTCTCTCTCACAGACCCTACACATTATCTCATCAGTTGCCATATCTTATACATTATTTCTCCATAGCATCTCTCCTATATATCTCTTTCTCTGTCATCCTTGTCTAAACTACTGCAATAGCTTCCACATCTATCATTCGCCCTCGTCTTTACCCACTCCAATAGATCCTCCACACTCAGCTGCCAAATCTGACCACGCCACCCTTCTGCTCAATAAACTCCATGGCTCACCATAATTTCAGGATTAACTATGAAACGTTTTTGAATTTAAAGCTCTTCACAATCTAGTTTCTTCCCATCTTCATAATAATCTTACATTGTTACATTCTACTCTCCTCCATATATTCTATAATCAAGGCAACCTGGCTTTCCTGCTGTTGTTCTCTACACACAATCTTCCCTCTCTTGCCTCTGTGACCACCCTGGCAATCCTCCATGCCAAGGCCCATTCTCTATAACTCGACTTCAGATTCCTGGCTTGCATTAAGACTCATCTCAAGCGCTACATCTTCCAGAACGTCTCTCTACTCCTCAGGGGCTGGTGCTATCTTCTTTAGGCGGCACTCTATGTGCTGGAGGCAGAGGACCCAAGTTCAAATCTAGCCACAGACACTTACTAGCTGTGTGACCTTGGGAAAGTCACTTAACCTCTGTTTGCCTCAGTTTCTTCATCTGTAAAATGAGGTTAATAATAGTACCTACCTCCCAGGGTTGTTGTGTGGATCAAATGGGATAATAATTGTAAAATGTTTAGCACAGTGTCTGGCACACAGTAAGCACTATAAAAATATTAGTAATCAGTAGTAGTAGTAGTAGTAGTAGTGGTAGTATTATTGATAAATATTAGATGAATCAATACTGAATAAATTGACTTCTCAAAGGATTTTGTATTTGAAGCACTGTTGTATAGTCCATCTTTGTCACAATAACACAGAGAACCTTTTACCAACATCATTATTATAGCAGGTTTATACGGTAAAGAGAGATCTTAAAAAACATCCTGCCTAATTCTTTGCCAATTTGTTGAAGATCATAGTAATGCAAATGTCACCAAATGGAGTTTTTCAACTATTGCCAATCCTTGGGAAATCAAAAATTACAGTTCAAAGTTTCCATGAGTGGTGGTTCTACATTTGGTCTGCATCCGCCAACAAGCTGAATTTGAAGTATTTAATTATAAAAATAAAGCTCCAACAAAAAACAATTATGTTCAATGAACTTCATTTGAACTGTTAGTTCTAATATCAAAGGCTAAGGAAAGTGGCTCTAAAAATAATCTCCAGGAATTCGGTGGAAGCAGAGCTTCAACTCAATGGAGCTTCAGTAAGAGTTAAAGAGTAGTGGGAGATCAAGGGCCAACGTATTTGCAAAGGCATTCCAAACAAATTATGAATGGAGAAGTAGAGGGAACAGTAAGAATTACAGAAAAGATATAAAAGCCTCAAAAATAAGCAGAGACAAGAAAAGATTGTCCTTTTATGGGGTGGGGAAAGAAGGAAGTGCAATCTGTAATCAAATCAATAGGCATTTGTTCAATGCCTACTGTGCACTGTGCAAGGGAGAAAATGGAACTCATTGTGAATAGCCTTTATTTTCTCAGTACGCTATGAGGCGACATCCTCAGTTTAGAGTAAGGGGAAGGTAGAAATCTTTTTTCAAGAGATTTAGAATAGCCATTGAGGGGAATATAACAGAGAGTCAATTAGACCTGGTTTAGAAACCTGACTCTGACACTTACTAGCTGAATGACTCTCTGAGCCTACCAGTTTCCTCATCTGTAAAATGGGAGTAATGATACCTGGAGTAACTTCACAGGGCTGTCAAGAGGTTTAAATCTACATAAAACACTTCACAAGGCCTTAAAGCACTGTGTCCAGTTAATAAGAAGAAGAAGAAGAAAAAGAAACATTTATATAGTGCTTATAGACACTATGCTAAGCACTTTACAATTATTATCTCATTTGATCTTCTCAACAACCTAGAGTAGTAGGTGCTATTACTATTCCCATTTTACAGATGAGGAAACTGAGAAGTTAAGTGACTTTTCCAGCTAAGTAAATGTCTGAGTCTGAATTTGAACTCAGGTCTTTCTGACACCAGTCCCACCCCAAAATATAAAGCTAAAATCAACAGCTTTTCTTTTTCTTCCTTTATTTCTTTCATTCTTTCTTTGTTCCTTCTTTTGTCACCCATTAATTGGGTAGCTATATGTTCAATATGTACTGAGTACGTACTAAGTTGTTTGTTTGTGTTTTCTTTTTTTTAATGATAGCTATCTGATCCTCCAGGTAAAAGAAAGACATTCTAAAATCCCATGTTAGAAATTTCTGGCAATGATAAATCAAAAAAAGGTTAGAGACTGTGTGAACAGAATGTTACATAATAAGTGTCATATAAGTGATATGAACTTTGTGCCACATGAATATAGAGAAAGTAGATTGTTTAGCTGGGGTGATTAGGGAAGGTATCCTGCAGAGGGTGGAAATTGTTAGCAGAGGAATCTTATTCTTGGAATCATAAAAGTTGGATTCTAGTCTTTTCTTTGACATTCTCTCTGAGTTTTAGCTCTATCAACAATATGGAAATACTCTTCCTTGTCCCAACCATCTGCCAGGGTTGTAAAGATGAAAATGGACTGTAGGTATCTCACAAGTGCTACAAAAATGTTAAGCTGCTGTTGTTGCTGTTATACCAGAGTCTTTGATGATGAATAGGTTCTCTTTCTGTCACCTAACATCTTAGGTGTGTACATGGCTAGAAAGAAGATATGGTGAAGAGAGAAGGAGCAGAGCAACAGCTGCTATTTCTATGTATCACTGATTATTAAGTTAGGTGGATATATTACATACTATCTGTATGGCATAAGAATGATGTTAACACGTTCTGACACAAATATTCAGAAGTAGCTATTGAATTACCACACATAACTATCTATGTGACGTTAGATAAAACTTCAATTACAATGCAACAACACTTCTACTTATTACGAGTTCCTATTAAGCCTCGAGTCTCTCATTCATAGCTTACCTCACTAGTTCTGAAGATTATTCGATAGTTGTATGGTGGTCCATTTTCTTTCAGTTCTTCTGGCTTTTCTCTTCGAATGCTCACAGCCACAGGGCCCAGGTTCTCATCTGCTCCAAAATAGTTCCAGTGTTCTAAAGCAAAATGAAAAAAAGAGCCATTTTAACATCATGTTGTAGAAACAGCATGCTTCACTCAAAGATCAACACTGGAAAAAAAAATTCTACGCCAAAAGGCTATACATACATTTAAAAAAATATAATATATAAAAATATCTAATGTAATTCCAAGAACATATTCAGTTACTCTGGCTCAATTGAATTCACAAACATCTATTAAGTGCAGGGTACTGTGCCAGATACTGGAAATACAAAACTGGAAAAAAGGGACAATTCTGTTACAGTTACAGAGAAATAAATGCAAGACAGAATGTGAGTGAGGCAAAGGAGAGATCAAGATAAAATGCTAAAAAACAAAAAACAAAAAAAAAACCAAGAAGTCAATTTCATTAGGGTGTCAGAGGTGGGATTAGGAAAGGATTCTTTAAGGAGGTGACACCTGATCTGGGCCTTTAAGAAAGAAAAGGATGGTAATAGGTAGAAATAAGTGAAAAAAAAAAAAGAAAAAAAGAAATAAGTAAAGAATTCTGCACAGGGGATAAGAAGGGAAGTAGTCAAATGGGAAAAAAAAATCTTTGTATCAAATTTCTCTAATAAGGATTTGGTATTCAAGAAATGTAAACAATTAATAATATATATGACTAATAGCCATGCCCCAATAGTTAAGTGGTCAAAGGACATAAACTAACTTTCTAAAAAAAAAAGAAATGTAAAGTATTCCCAACTACATGAAAGAATGCACCAATCACTAATAGGAGAAATGAGAATCAAAATAACTCTGAGGATCCATCTCATATCCTGAAAACTGAATAAACAGATAAAAAATGACAATACTCAATGTTGGAGGGATTGTGGAACGACAAGTATATTAATACATTGCTGGTAAAGCTTTAAAATGGTATAACCAGTTTGGAAAACAATCTGGAATTATGTAGATAATTTCTGACATTTGTCCATAAAATGTCCATACTAGAATGTCTCTTTCAACCAGAGACTCCATTACTGGGAGTTATACTCCAAGGAAGTCACTGATAAGAAAAAAGTTTCCATATATACACCAAAATATATATAGCAGCACTTTTTTTTTTGATAGCAAAGAATTGGAAACAAAGAATTCCCATTGGGGAATGGCTAAACAAACTGGTATACAAATGTAACAGAATACTACTGCGCTGTAAGAAATCACTGATATGATGAAAAAGGAGAAGTATGGAAAGATCTGTATGAAATGACAAAATCAAGTAAGCAGAGGTAAGAAAACAATATACACAGTAACTACGGCAATGCAAACAGAAAGAACTACATACCAAAACTCAAAAGTGAATGCAACAAAATTATAAAGATCAAGTAGGACTCAAAGAGATATGAGAAAACACCCTCAACATACCCATTCTTGAAGGTGTGAGGTCCACAGGTTACACTGTAGCCTGTGAACAACTTACATGTTTTCAGACTTTTCTATATCAGCTGTGCTGATTATTTTTCCCTCTATAAAAAAATACTCCATATTATATAAGGATGGCTCTTGGGCAGAGGCAAGGGAAAGGATATTTGAGATAATTATGATGAAAGAAACAAAAGATAATAGTAAAATCTTATATAAAAAAGAAATGGGAAGAGCATGAATTCCTGGAAAGAAGATGGTCTGAGGGAAAGCAAAGAGGCAGGAGAGTGTAGGACTAGATATAAAGATAGCTTTAGAGTTCACAACCAGTAAGATATGAAGGACTAGAATTAAAGCTGAAATGATAGCATAAAACTAAAGTTTAGAGGACTTTAAATATTCTGAATATGACAGGCTGAGAAGTCTGCACTTCATCCTATACACAGTAAAGAGCCAACTAAAGACATCTGACCAGCTAGGTGGCAGTCAGATCTATGCTTTAGGATAATTATTTTGGTATGAGAGAGATGGATTAAAGAAGGGACAGAAGAGAGGTAGGGAAAACAGTTAGATGATTTTAATAACCCATGTGAGAGATGAGTGATGAGAATCTGAACTAGGTTGACACCAAGGTAAGTGTGAGACACAAAAACAGAGGGACAGATATAAAGGGCAAATCATTAAGCTAGATTAACTAATTAGATAAGTGGAGTCAGCAGGGGAGAGTAAAAAGAAGAAGAACCCTGTTCATCTTAACTGTGATCTCTAATTCCTCCATCCCTTAATTCTTTCCAGGGCCATTATCCCTGCAGTGGCTATTTGTGACAAAGGATAAAACTCTCCACCTATCCCCATTTTGATCCATCGCCAGTAATCTTGACCTTTGTCTTGCCACTGGACTGGTATGACTTGGGAGGAGAATTTGAGGTTGATGACTTTGTACAGCTCTGCCTCCCTCAAATCCAATTCACATGCAAATTAAGACATCATTCCTGTGATGTCATTGGTCCTCTGAGAACGAAGGACCAACAACAACATGAAGGTACTGAAATGCTAAATATCTCCTCTATAGGCATTTCAGTGGCATACCCAATATTTAAAAATATATTATCTCCAGCACTGACCCCTTGAGCCCAGTATTACAGTTTCAACTACTTACTGTACATTGCTACCTGAATATGCATCTCAAGCTCAAGTCCAAGATCATACGCATCATTTATTCTCCTCAAAAACTATTTCTTCCTCTTGACTTTACTATTTCTGTTAGTGGAAAAAGTCCTAATCATCAAGGCTTACAAGCTTTTGACTCTTCTCCCTCGCTTCACACCTCACATCCAAATTCTGTCCAATCCTATATAGCTTCCGCCTCCAATGTTTCTTGCACTCAATCCCTCTGATTTCCAATACCATTCATTTCTTTTTGGACTACTGACCTGAGTACTTTCTACCATTCACCTCCTCGACATCCTTTCCTATCCTGGTGAATGGAGCTAGAGGAATTCACACAAGCAATGCTGACTGAATAACATGAATTTAAAATATATCTATCTACAAATAAGCCCTAGCTACAGCAAAGCAATCCTTTTACCCTTTGCTAATTGATTACTTATTAATAAACATTTCAATTCAATAAACATTTATTAAGTGCTTACTATGTGCTAGGCATTGTGCTAAACAGATATTTCATTCAATAAACATTTATTAAATACCTACTATGTGCAAGGTATTGTGCTAAGTGCTGGGGATACAAAAAAGCAAAAGACAGTCCCTGACTACCTAGCACCACCAAACTTTCTTCTCTCTTCAAATCTCTCACACTTCCACCTCCCCCATCTCAGCTGAATACCAAGCCTCTTACTTTACTGAGAAAAGTAAGAAAATTCAGTATAAGCTCCCTCTTCTATCCTTCATCTGAAAACCCCTTGCATCATCTTCTATTCTCTCCTCTTTTTCCCCAGTTGCATAATGAGGTGGTCTTTCTCTTTGCCAAGGCTAATCTCTATACACTGAGCTGGAGATTGCATCCTTAATTATCCCTTCTATCTTTAATGTTCAACCACTCTTGATTCTACTGGTTACTCCCTTCCTTCAAATGTTATGAAAGTTTCCAACATACTTAGGGGTGGAAAAAAACCCTTCAATAAACCCTTCCTTCCCTTTCTCCATCAAATCCCTAGCAGTAGTTGTCCTAGGATCTAACTGCTTCTCCCACTTCTCCTCTTTTTCCTTCTCCTCTTCTCTCCTCTCCTTCTTCAACTATTTGTAATCTGGCTTCCAATCTTATCACTCAACTGGAACTGCTCTCCCCAAATTACCAATGATCTCTTAAAGGCCAAATCTGATGATCTTTTCTCTCTTTTTAATCTACTTAAATTTTCTACTGCATTTGACACTACCGACCAAACTGTCCTGAATACTATCTCTTCTCTAGGATTTCATAACATCACTTTCTCCTATTTCTTCTATGATTTGTCTAGCCACTTCTCAGTCTCCTTTGCTGACTCATCAGCCATTCTAGCCTCATTGGACATTACTCCCTCCCCTGTACTCTGTGATCCAGTCAAATTGGACTTCTCTCTGCTCCTAAAACACCACACTCTATCTCCCAATCTCTGCATCTCTTCAATGACCATTTCCCATGTTTGGAACAAACTGTCCTCACATCTGCCTCTCCCAAACCCCACTTTTCAGCCATTCCCCATTTGATGAGCATCCCAGCAATTTCCAGTTTCTTCTACAAGTACCTCCTTCTACTTGAAATCCATACTGAATTTTAATTGACTGTCTAAATCTGTCAGTATCTGTCTTGTCTACAATATCTTTCCCTTTCTAATCTCTGCCTCCTTCAATCCATCCTTTATATGGCTTCTGAATAATTCTCTTAAAGCATTTATTACTATTCCACTCAAAAATCTTCAACGATTTTATCCAAACAATGTCCAAACTCATCAAACTGGCATTCAGGGTTCTCTTCAATATGGCCTCATCTTATCATTACCAACTGATCTTCTACTAATCCCCTAACATTTATGTCCCAATCAAAATGTAATGCTCACTGTTCTTCAAACATTCTCCAGGCTTTCTAAATTCCCTATCTTTTCCAATGCTGTATCCACTACCTAGAATATACTTCCCCTGTCAAAATCTTATACTTCAAGATTCAACTGAAATGTCACCTCTTCAATTAAGTTTTTTCTGGATCTTCTCAACCAGATATAATCCCTTCCTCTTCTGAAAGCCTATAGAATTTTGTACTTATCAAAGGAGTTTTACCAACTCAGCTTTGTCTTCATCTTGGTTACTCCTAGTTGGTGTATTCAAAGGGTGCCAGGGATCCACTTATGCTAGAATAAAACATTCGTCAAGTTCTCTTCTTCTCTCCTGGGTATAAAAACAGCCCTAATTGCCCCAGACCACTGAGAGAGGCTGGTTTCCTAGATCTAAAATGCTGTGCAGCTTCATTTCCCAAGTATACAAAATAAAGAATGAGATCAGGTTGATAGTGAAATGTTATCATGAAACAGATACCATATATCAGTTATGTGTGACAGTGTTATGTATCTGTGAGAAAGGTAGACAGATAATTGTGCTTAAAATTAACAAATCCCATAATTAGATCAACTGAGTATAG